ACCTAAATGATTCGCTTTATGATTTCTTTGTTTTTTGAATTTTTTTTTGTCATAAACAGTCACCATCGTGACAACACAAAACAACAACGAGCGTGAAATTATGTTGTACACATGATTGTTTATATTTTTTTTTATATTCTTAATTTGGTTCAACAAAATGTCATCTATGATATTACAAAAAAAAAAAAATGAAATTGATATAGTATAACTTAAAGGGGCATTGCAATCATTCACTCTCCTAATAGCTACAAATACAAACACTTATCAATTAACCCAAAAAATGAATAAAAATGAATTTTGTTCAAAAAGCACTATATAATCAAGAAAAATGAAATTTGCATGTTAATTAAGAGTCTTCGTCTTGAGAATAGAAGAAGTGATTGGTTTGTAATTTGCTATTGCCTAACCATTGGGACACAATTCTCAACTCCAAGTAACACCAAATGATATTTTAGCAAGCTTCGGATTCTTCCTGCTTTGGCCTCACTTCAAGTTCTGGTGGCAGAAGTTTCAAAAAGCTTCCCTGAACCATGGGAGGAGTAGGAGGAGGTCGATCACAAGTCGGTCTTGTTGTTGTTTCTGATGAATCTGATGTTTCTGATGATCCACTATCTATACAACAATTTAAATACATAAAATTAGTAAACATGATCAAGATTGGTCTTTCAAGATTGATCTTCATATGCTATTAGGAAATAAAATGCCTACCGAAGAGTGACTTGACCATTGGTCGCTTCCACTTGTTCTTCTTCTTTAACTCCGCTATAAACGACATTAAAACATACATTAGTAACAATGAAACTAATTGAAAAACAAATACAAGAAGTAGTGATCAAGTGTGTACCCATTCCAGGAACTTGGTAATCATTAACAATCTCGAAATTCTTGTAAGTGTACCCTACAAAGTTGATGTCCTTAGACGACAACATCTGCAAAAGTAAACCGGAATTAATTAAATATAAATGAATGTAATAAGAAAGAAATATTAATCAATCTTTTTGGAAGAAGTAGCAGTTGTGTTAAAAGATAGGTAATATGGTTATGCCTTCCTCCATGGACCTGACTTGGATGATGTTTGAGTTTGCGATTCGGACTGCATTACCAAATATAACAAAGTTTGATTACAAAATACATATTAGGGAGTATTTAAATATCTCTATGCTTCCATTAAATACAAAGGATTAAAGATTTGTTACCTCATCAAACTTCTCAAAATTTTGAGTGTCTAAATCATCATTGACCTCTGGAACAAACGCTGCATCCATATCAAATATTGTATCCCAATCAACAGGTTCAAACCATGGATGAGCCTGCAAATGGAGAAAACAACTCATGCATTTCATCTCACAAGTTTTGAATTATAGATTCAACTCTTTACTTCTGTTGATGCTAAAGCTACAATAAAAAACACACAGTCCTTTAGTCGCTATAAAACTCTTCATGCATCTTAAAAAAAAAGGGAAATGTTCTTAAGGAAACCAGTACAAAGGACACACCATACAACACCTTTATTTCATCAGCACCTTTGGAACCAAGCCTACGTCTAACACTGCACAACAAGCTGTTTATAAGATCTTTTGCTTCCCGCGACAATATTGCTTCCTCTGGAAACTTCAGATGACTTTTCCAGTTTACTATCTGCACCAACACCGAAAACAAGGTAAAATTCTCATTCTTGTCTTGTTTTCTTTGTGTTCCTTGTCACTTTCTTCTAGTATAGTATAATGAATGTGTTACCTTTCTACAGGTTGACATAGGATCATCTGAATAAAACGGCGGATAGCCCACTAGCATTTCGTACATGATAGCTCCAAGAGACCACCTACAAAGCATTTTATTAAGAAAATTGCATTACCAGTCTTATGCAATATGTAGACAGTATCACCAAATACTATAATCAATGCATCACTAAGAGTACTAGCTAAGAGAGCTTCAAATGCTTACCAGTCACATTCCATTCCGTAGCCTTTCTTCAATAGAACTTCTGGAGCTATGTAATCTGGTGTGCCAACAGTGGAATAAGCCTGTCCATATATGTGTTAATTAAATACAGAGCGAGAAAAACTCGACAAGAAAACCTTAAGCAGCAGTGCTTAAGCCAAAAACTCAAAAGGTGAATTTAAAGCTTTACTAGTGTTCTTCTGTTTCTCTGCCAATGCTCAAGTTGTTCTTGCTGAGAGCGTTTTGGAGCAGTTGATCCGGCCTCTTGCTCGGTAGATCCATTCGAGTTGTTTGAAAAATCGTTTTCTCCAATGGCACTGCAGTCCAAAGGTTTACACAATCCAAAATCCGATAGTCTAAGATGTCCATATCTATCAAGCAACAAGTTATCCGGCTTGATATCCCTGCGAAGTAGCGAAAGAAGACGATTAAGCTCATCCAAAATACAAGAAGAGAGAATGAAATGGTGTTAAAAAAAACAGAACCTGTGGATGTAATTATGCCTATGGATGGACTCGATAGCGAGAACCGTCTCAGCGACATAGAACTTAGCTTCTTCTTCTGTTAAAGTATCTTTCCGCATCAGAAGAGTCATCATATCTCCACCAGGCAAATACTCCATTACAAGGTAAAGATGATCATCATCTTGAAATGAACAATAAAGCTTTACTATGTAGTTACTTTCCACTTCCGCAAGTAAGTTTCTCTCTGCTCTTACATGCTCAACCTTGGAAAAAACATGACAGATTCACAAACAAGAACACAAAATCAAGTAGCAATTGGATAAGCAAGGTCGTGCCTTCCATGCTTTTGTTAAGTCATTCGCCTAAGGCCCCGGAAAATATATGTTAATTTTAGGGCCTCATTTTCCTAAAAATTTAATGTAGTTTAGTGGTAAATAATAAAATAAAATAGTTTTTTGAAATTCTCATCACAAGTTCAATCCAATTCCATGCTAAAATAAGAGTTTTTTTTTTGTCGTAAGTTTTATTAATTTTGTTTATTGGC